ATGGGATGCCGAAGACATACTGTGGTGGGGCAGAGCGTGTGAGCCTGGTGGCTGACGGCAAGCTCTTTGTGGGCAGCGGCAGCAGTACAAACCCGGAGGGGCTGGTCATGAACACAGAGATCCTGGGAGCCACCACAGAGGTGCTCATTGAAGATTCAGACTCCACTGGACCCTAGTGGGTGGGGAGCACGTGGGTGCTGGGACAGTTTGGACTCTGTATTTAAAAGGACAAAAGAGAAAAAAAGAAAAAAAAAAAAAAAGAGGAGACACTTACTGAAAGAGAGAAAAGTTAAACAAAACTTACAATACTAGTAAATAACTGAAGGGTCTGTTCCCTTCCAGTGTGGATCACAGCACTTCTTCTTTCTCCCAACCACTTCTCTCTCTCCCACTGCTCCTTTGTAGAAAGGGGCACATGCTGCCATTACCAGAGCAAGTTGGCTTGGGCGACGGATTTCCCCAAGGGAGGGGGGACTGCTGAAACCCTTCGCTCTACCCCAAAACAGATGCCTTTCTGGCTCCTTGACGTGGCCCCACTTGCAAACTAGAAAGCATTTGAGGTGCTCTGGACAAGTTTCTTAGGACTTCCTCTAGCCCCTGGTCCCAACTTCTATGCATTGCTGCACTCTGTTCCTTGCAGTCTCATTCTTCCTCCCGGGGCTGGGAGTTTGGCTTGGCACTTTAGGCCCCCTCAGCAGGGTGAGCTGTGAGACAGCGCACGTCCCTCTCCCCACCACGTTCCTCTGCTCCAGTTCTGGCAGGAAGTCGAGGGAACGCCCTGGCTCATAGATCATGTTTGCTTGGAGAGGCCCGGGGGCTACGGGAGCCTTGCGTGGGAGAGGCAAGGAGGAGCATCCCAGTTTGACGACAGTAATTTGCACTTTGAACATGTTTCGTTTTTGTGTTGTGGTAACAAGATTCCTTATTTATTAATTAAAAAAGGGTCGGTATTTTTTAGTTATGTTCCTAGGGGTGGAGGTGGAAGGGGTTCAGGCTATTTCCCAGTAGGCTCCTTTGCACTAGCGAGCTGCAGGAGCACGTTGTGCTATCATAACAGCAGCTGGGAGAGCCGAGATGAAGGCAGTGTTCTGGAGTCAGATGTCTCTTGCAGCTTTTCCAGAGTAGAGAGCACCTGGAGAAGAGCCTGTTTGCAGTGGTGTGTCTGCAGCAGCGTTTTAGCAGGAGGATGAGGTGAGTGATGGAACAGCTGGCTATTGTCTCCCTCCCTCCCAGATCGAGGTGAGCTCCATGCTCTTTTTGCCTCTTGCTTGCTCCCTAGCCTTTCAGGGAAGAACATTGTTAGCCAGGAACTTGTTCTTGTGACTTAGGACAGTTGTGGGCTGCTTGCTGCTGGGGAATGTTGTGCTCCTCATCCAATTCTGCCTCTCCTTTCCAGGTCTAGTCCGAGATACAGGAGCAGGGACTGGATATGATTGTCTCAGGCTTGTTTATCCAAGGCAATAGGCTGATGCAGGACTAAGGGGCTGTCATCTTCTCTCTCTGCCCCCATTTTGGGGGGAAGGTGTTGTCCAACCATGTTCTCAAAGCTTCTCTCTTCTGTGAAAACGCCTCTGCTTTCCATTAAATGTGGCAGTTCAAGTGTTGCCCGATGATGTAATTAGGACAGTTCTGAGCTCTTGGGAAAGTTTACATAGGATGTAATGCGTCTGCTGTGGAGACTTTGATCTTTTAGCTCTTACCTGAAACTTGGTGTGGAGATTCAGTGGCCTTGAATTCGTAGTGGTTTTGGAAGAGGCGAAGAATAACCTGGGCTTTTTGTTTGCTTGTTTTTTTTTCAATTGGTTTTATCTGGTTGGGAGCAGAACTGAAGTTATCTTATCCAAGCACAGGATGAGCTAAATTGGTCTGTAGCACACAGCAGCTAGGCAAAATCAGGTACCTGGGGTCTGGAGAATGGCAATAAAACATGGAATTTAATTGGAAGCTTTTCACAGGAAACTGACTCTGAACACCCACTCTGTCCCCTGCGCTGCCTGGAAATCCAGCTGTGGCCCAAGCCTGACAGCTTTTATTTGGCCATTTGTCCTGATCTCCCTCCTCCCTTTCCCCCCTTACACTGGTATCTTTGTCAGAGCAAGTTGAAACACTTCTGGTGTTGGGGCGGTTTGTGGCTGAACAGTTTGCAACCGTGATGTCTTATGCCTTGGGTGTGGACATCCCACGTTCTTGTAGCGTAGCTCCCATACCTGCAGGAGATGGACCTGGCCACGAGCCTCTCCTGGAGATGAGGGCCCAGTGTACCTGAACACAGATCTCCTAGGACAGTGTGTGTCAGGTCCGCAGACATATGATGTTAAACTAAAACAGTTTCTTCGGTTGGGATGATCCAGTTTCTTGCTTGAATCAAATTACTGTGATGTGATATCCAGCAGTAAGCTTTTGAGTGGCCAGCCAGTCCCCTCCCCTTGCAAACTAAAGAGAAGCAGCACAATGACATGTGTTCAAACCCAAGTGTGATGGTTTCACCCGCCAGCAGTGCAGGTCTTCTGTCCAGAAAGGCTTGGGGCTGGCTGAGCCACATTGTGTGGTGGCATGTCTTCTGGCCAGGATCCCAGACACTGATAGCAGATGTGCTTGTGTGGTGAAGGTTGGCTGCATCATCCTCACACTTGCTGCAGACCATGCTGCTGGAGCTGCTTTTTGTGCTCTGCCTCTGTGCCCTATGGGAGGTGCAGAGCAGGCAGTGTCTTGCACAGAACACTAAACAAGAGAGCTCGGGGCTTTGTTTTCTGAGGGATGGCACTAAAATGCTTTTGCGTCAAGGGCTTGCTCACCTCTGGTGATGCAATGCTTAGTACCTGGCTGGGAGGCAAGAGAGGCTGCCCCATCCTGCATCTGCCTAGACCACCCTGAGTGGAGCAAAGAGTTGGCCATTGGTTACATCTCTGGGATGCAGAATTGAGCAGCTCATTTGCTTCCCTGCCTTGTCCTTCAGTGCACACCTCTTGTAGCTTTCCTTTTTCTTTTTTCTGGTCTCAGCCAGTTGCCTGTCTGTCCTCTAACTGCAGCCTGCTTAACCCCTGATGCAGGAGAGACTGGTGTAGCTCTCTTCCCACTCCTGTTTGAACCCATAAAACTGACACAGCCTTCCTGCAGCTCTTCCTCCCCTCGATGTTTCTTCTTCACTCGCATGCAGTTTACTTCAATAAATTATTGTAGTAGTTTGCAATAAACTTTTTTGTATTTTTTCCCCTGTATTTTTTTTTTCCTCTCCTGCCGGGGAGGGAACAGAAGGTGCGCAGGGCCCTGTGCCTGCTGCCGGGTGCTGTGCCCGGCATGGGCAGCGGTGTGCGGTCAGGGTCCTTCCCTCCTGGGGCGCGGGGTTTGGATGGGGGGGCTCTGCCAACTGGAGCTGAGGGGCTCTCGGAGCTCAGCAGCGTTTTCTGCAGTAGCCAGCAGGTGGCAACGACGCTGTTGGGTTGGCCACCGGCCCTGGGAGCTCGCGCTGGGGGAGCCGGGGTAGTCCCCCAGCCACGCTGCGTCAAGGCTAGGTGTAGTGTGATACTGGAGGGAAGCTGCTTTTCAACTTCTGTTTTTTCTTTTAATTTGGGTAATAAATAACCAAAATAAACGTACTGAGAAAAAAAACAAAAAACCCCACGAAAACCTCCCAAAAAAACAACAAACAAATGAGCCAAAAGGGCTGTTTTGGTGCATGCAGCTCCCCTATGGCGGATGGCCAGGGTT